GCTCATATTTGTCACTATTGGATGTTAGCAATAATCAACTCTTTGATGAGATACCAAGATGGATGGAGAATTTGTCAAGTTTGTCAATATTGGATTTGAGCAATAACACAATTTTTGGTGGGATACCGAAGTGGATGGGGAATATGTCAAGTTTGGAAACAATTGTCATGGCAAATGATCATCTTGAAGGTCCAATCCCCATGGAATTTTGCCAGCTCAATCGTAATCTTAAATTTCTCGACCTCTCAGCTAACAATATCTCGGGGAGTCTACCATCTTGCTTCAGCCCTTTAATGATCAGTCATGTTCATTTATCCAAAAACAAGCTACAAGGGCCACTGGCAAATGCATTTCGTAACAGCTTTAATTTGGTGACATTAGATCTCAGCAATAACCACTTAAGTGGAAACATTCCAAATTGGATTGGAAAGCTTTCTGAGTTGAGTCATCTTCTTCTAAATAACAACCATTTTGAAGGTAGGATTCCACTTCAGTTATGCAAGTTGAGTCACTTAAGCTTGATTGATCTTTCTCATAATAATCTTTCTGGGATTATTCCCCCTTGCCTGAAGATTACAACACAGTACAATATATCCCAAGATCATGTCCGTCTAGTCGTTGGTCCTCCTCCACCTTCCACCCCTTCTTTCTCTGCTGAAGAGCCAATAGAGTTCACAACAAAAAACATATCCTACCCATACAAGGGAAGAATCCTTACATACCTGTCTGGAATTGATCTCTCTTACAACAAGTTGACTGGTGAGATTCCCCACGACGTCAAAAAATTCCTAAACATCATTGTGTTGAACCTAGCTCACAATAATTTGACAGGATCAATCCCGTTAGAGTTTTCTAATCTCAGACAAATTGAGAGTCTAGATCTTTCTTACAACAACTTGACCGGGAAAATCCCTCCTCAACTTGCAGGGTTACATTTCTTGGCATATTTCAATGTGTCATACAACAACTTGTCTGGAAAGACACCTGAGACCGGACAATTTGCAACATTTGATGAAAACAGCTACCTGGGAAATCTTTATCTTTGTGGCGCATTGTTGCGAAATAACTGCTCTGCAATTGAACGAACATCAATTGACAATAGTGAAGACGATGGTTCAATTGACATGGATATCTTTTATGTGAGTTTCATCGTGTCTTACATAATAGTGCTATTGGGTATTGCTGCTGTGCTTTACATAAATCCTTATTGGAGACGAGCATGGTTCTATCACATTGAAATGGGCATTACTTCTAGCTACTATTTTGTAGTAGACAATCTCCCCAGAGGATTCCGTTGTTGAAATATGTAGCCAATAGATTTTCATTTCCACCAAAAGCTTCAGCTTTTTCCCTTCCCTGTTAAGAATTTGAATGAAGACCCTCTTGATTTCTGTCTCTGGAAATTCTATTATAATATGTTTCTTGACCAATTAATCCTTTTGCAAATAGCAAGCTTGGATCGTTTCTAGAACCATATGAGTGGCAAAATTCGCTCCTCAACAATACAGATTACAGTATTGATCATGACATATGTAACTCCTTTACTAATTTTTGTTGTGCATGTTACCAATTTGTGTTACTAACCATGTTCCTTGGCTCAATGAATCTTTCGTTGTCACCAATTTCTGTTACTAACCAATTCCTCTGCTCAATGAAACTTTCATTGTCAACCTCTTTTACATAGGAATTGTCACAACGAATACTAATTCAAATTGCTCACATAGTGCGTAGAAATATGGCAGTTTCTTCTCTAATAATTTTTTTAGGAATGCAAACCATTTGGAGGCATTGAAATGAGTGTCAACTTTATTTAGGGTAGTCTGGGTTATGATCCACATAGAGTCTCTCTTCATTTTCTATTTCTTTTTCTCCATTCCTTTAAAGGATTATTCAGATCGAAAGAAGCTTGTGATAATGTATGACTAAAACTGAAGCATGTCAGTTTATCCTGTTGTGGAGAGGTTGGATCATTTCCTCAATTCCTCTATCATCAACATGACTTGAGGTATGTTGATCTCTCCAACATCAAGCTGATTGGAGAATTCCCAAATTGGTTGTTGGAAAACAACGCAAAATTACAAACATTTGTTCTAGCAAACAACTCTCTCCAAGGACATTTCAGCTACCTTTCCTCTCACATTTGCGTTTATCACTTCTTGATATCTCCATAAATTCGTTCTATGGCAACATTTCAATTGACATTGGAGCAAAACTACCATCGTTAACGTTTCTGAACATGTCAAAAAATTCTTTTGGCGGTAGCATTCCAGCTTCCATTGGTGATATGAATTTCCTACAATACTTGGATTTGTCTAACAATAAATTGTACGGTGGATTACCTGAACACTTGGCCATGGGCTGCTCCTCATTAAGTGCCCTTATATTATCAAACAACAGTTTGCAAGGCCAGATTTTCTCTGCAAATTTTTCCTTGACAAACTTGATAGAGTTGCAAGTGGAGGGGAATCACTTCTCTGGAATGATCCCAGATTGTTTGTCTAATTGTTTGCTTTTGTCAACATTGGATGTTAGCAATAACCAACTCCATGGTGGCATACCAAGGTTGATGGAGAATATGTCAACTTTGTCAACATTGGATTTAAGCAACAACAAACTTTCTGGAGGGATACCAAAGGGGATGGGGCAAATGTCAAGTTTGGAAGAACTTGTCCTGGCAAATAATCATCTTGAAGGTCCAATCCCCACAGAGTTTTGCCAACTCAATCTTAAACTTCTGGACCTTTCAGCAAACAACATCTCTGGGAGTATACCACCTCGCTTTGGCCCTTTATGGATTAGTCAAGTTCATTTATCTAAAAACAAGCTACAAGGGCCTCTAACAAATGCATTTCGTAATAGCACTATTTTGGTGACATTAGATCTCAGCAAT